AGATTTCTAGATTGGTTTCAGGTTGATGAGTGAATGTGTTTCTCGCCTGCCTTCCCGATTTTTGATTTGACATGTGTGGAATCGATCAGATATTTAAATAAAAATCAATATAGGATATTGCACAATCAGAAATAATAATATGAGTGGTATTGATCAATTACAATCAGATGGGAAATAAGACGAGTGTTTTTATAGTCAAAATAAATAAGTAACTTGTTAGAATGCTATGATGTACGTGAATGGAAATAGAATGCAATTTGAGATTATTTATTATCCTCCTCTGATTTGACTGACTGACTGGTGGTAATAATATCTTCCATATTTCTGGTATTTGCATTGAGTTATTTCTGTTGCATGTGCTGTGTTGGGTGTAGATTCACTCGATGAACAAGGATTCAGTAATCAATCTCTCGGTCCACCTCCATAGATTACTTCTTGGAATTTTAACCCTCTCCCACCTTATTTTGTGATTGTGTGTTAGTGCATGCAGTGCAGTTGCTGGGCTTTCTTCTAAATTACTTATTTTCGTGGGGTCAACCGTTGTTACCTTAGCTAAATTTTTGTGTTCTGACAGGCAGTCTGACTACTCATGATCTACCAGTTTGACGTATGTTGTTGACTGAACTCACAGTCATTGGAGGGTATTTTGTAAATTTCATTATTTTGTCTAATTGGGTCAACCTACTGGGTCTTTTAACCTACAGAGTTTGTTCCTAAGTGAGTTTATAGGTTTAAATGCCACTCTGTTTCCTGCTATATTCGGAATCCTACATAGTGTCTCAGATGTCCCCTCCTTATATAGTATAACAGTGGATGACTTCTCTCTTGTTTATGTTATCATTACTGGTTTCACAATTATTTTTATTTATTTATTATTGTTATTATATCCTTTAATTCTTAGAGGAACATAGGGCTTCAGCCACGCGTCTCCATTGACTTCGGTTTTCTGCCAACTTTTTCACTCCGCTCCAAGTTTGCCCACATGCTTTCATCTCCTTTTTACATGACCTCCTCCAAGTCACCTTTGCACTGATGACCAACTCACCGCTTCCCTTTCGGGTTCCATTCCAGCAATGGCTTGTCTAGTGATGTCACTCACTTGATGGTTTCCCCAGCGTATGGCCAATCCATCTCCATTTATTCCTGCCTATTTGTTGCACAATCGGTTCCTGGTTTGTTTGCTCCCACAGATCCCTATTGCTGATATTTACTGGCCGGCCATCTGATCTTGATTATTGAGCAAAGACAACGGTTAATGGAGGTCTGAAGTTTGTTTGAGATGTTGTTTATAACGCGCCAAGTCTCTGATCCGTATAGTGATTAGCACTGACTGACTTCACATTGGAGTTGAAAATCCGGATGTTATTTTTGATGGTGAGTGGGGCTGTTAACCTCCACACAGACTTAAGAGTAATGAAAGCCTGTCTTGCTTTTCCGATCCTTGCTTTGATATCCTTGTTAGTTCCGCCTTTAGTTGAAACGATGCTTCCCAGGTAGGTAGGTAGGTAAAGAAGGTTGTTTCTTTCAGGTTCCTCCCATTTATGTTGGCTGATTGTTGTCTGTTGTTGTTGCTGTGACGTTTGGCTAGGAATCTTCATCACCTCTGTTTTATCTATGTTCACCTGAAGTCCTATCTTTGATGCTTCTTATGCCAGCTTGTTGCTTTATGGTAGGACGATTTGCTTTGTGTTTTCTTCGGGGGCTTTGATTTGATAGGTTGGCTTGAGGAACTGGGAAGACGTTCAGATATCACACAGATGGCTTTGGTGTTAATGTTACAACTTAAGTTTAGACACTTTGGTGATGAAATTATGTAAGTATTTATTCTTTTTGAATACACTTAGTAGGCATTTCTCTTCTTCAGTAGCGGAGTGCTACAGTATACTTTGTACTCTTTTATAAACAATGTCTGCACGCATAGTATCTTTCGTGAGTAATTGGATAGTTGGGTAATGTTATGTACTAGTTTTCCCCGTCGCCAAATTGTTATGTACTAGTTTTCCCCGTCGCCAAATTGTTATGTACTCGTCGCTGAATTATTGTTATGGACTGGTCGAGAAACTAATAGTCCTGACGCGAGAAGGCGGAAATCAGAAGACCACTAGGTTTGCGATGATACTTCTATTGTCCAAACACAAGGAGACGAAAATAAATGGTCTCACACCAAAGTGGTAAGTAAGTAAAGTAGTTGTAAAGTAAAGTAGTTCACACAAATTGTGAATGCGAATATATATAAATAATTCAGACAAGCGTGGGAAAAATCATTAGACAGTCTTAACATGAATGGCTAATTATAATGGAGTGTCGATCCAATTATACATAGCGAATATAGCAGACATGCCAACAAACATATATGGATATATGTCACCAAGCAACGGACTGTCAACAAACACTCATATTATATATAATATAATATAAGGAGAATACACATTATTAAAGGAGACAAGTCCATACAAGTGAAGTGGTCACAGACTAACCGAGCAAACAGAAAGAGAGACCAACATGCACACACACACATAAATATATATATGTGGATACATATCACCTCCCCTTTTGAGAAGATGGATGATTAGTAGGATGTTTACCTGGGGGTTTATCTGGGACCTTTGGGCTTGTTGTTGACGCCTGTCGTTTCGTCTGATTGTTGGGTTTGCGGCTTCGGCTCCGTCCGGAATTGTCTAGCATTTTATGCTTCTTCACTGTATTGCGTAGAGAATTTAGTGGGACATCAGCCAGATGCAAACGATCGAACCAATCAAGTCCCAAAACATTTAAATCATTCTTCGTGACGTAACAAATTCCTGTGAATTTGGTATTGCGGAAGGAAACAGAACATTTGAGTTCACCAATTAGTTTGAGCCGCCCACCACAGGCGCTGAGAAGAGACTGGGAAGTATTGGTGATAGGTGGTCTGCCAATATAATTCCAAAGTTTCTCTGATATAACAGTAATATCAGAGGCAGTATCTAGCTGCAGACGAGTATCATGACCATTCATCTGAAGGTCAATATATTTCCGCATAGCTGGTGTTGTGACTTGACAGGTTGCACGTAGACTCAGTGATCTTTTTGGAGATTTAGGACCGACATTTTGTTGAGCTTTTGCTGGATTATGATATCTGAGTTGGCGTGGCTGACAAAAACCATTTTTATGACCGATGATTTTGCACTTGCTGCAACGATGATTTTTGTATGGGCAAGACTTTACAAAGTGCCACGCGCCACAATGCCAGCATGGTGATGGAGGGGTCTTCTTTGCAGTATTTTGTGAAGTTGGACGAGTATGTATAGATTTCCGCGGGACATTAGGAGAAGTAGGTGGGTCAGGAGTAGCTGATGAGAGATTTTTGCTCTTGCGTAATGCACGAATATCAGAGCTTCTCGGAGGTGTTGATTCGACCAAGTGTGTGTCTTTCTGCAGATTAATCAGCCGTTGATATTCATCAGCTATGTCATGTAATGTTAACTTGGGATTTTGTTCTAGCTGATTGAGCAGTCGAGTTCGGATATCTGTGAAACGAGGAGATTGGAGACTGCATATGAGAATCAAGGCTTTGAACTGATCATCTGTTAAGGACCTGAGTCGAAATCTCTCACATTCTCGGTTGACTGTGCCAACGTGAGTAAGAAAATCATCATTTTCATTCATTGCCAGCTTGAGGCAACGATAACGTATACTGAATAATGAGGAGTGGTCTCCGAAATGTTCACGCAGCAACTTTATTGTATCATCGAAACAATTGTCACGTGGTTTCTGTGGTAAAATTAGGTTGCAGTACCGTTCATATTCTGCCGGACCCAATTTACGTAGCAAAACTCGCACCTTCCAGGCATCGTCTTGTGAGGCGAGATCAACAGTGAATAAATCCTCATAACGTTGATACCATGTGTCAAAAGTGACATTAGCCTCTGGGTCATAATTGAACTGTGAAATGCTGTTCACAATTCCGTCGACAGATGGTAGCATGGTATGATTGGGATTGCTTGAAGGTGGAGCTGGACCAGTCTGTTGGTTGACGAACATTTCCATTAATTTCATTTGTCGTTCAAACAATAATTCCAATTTAGAATAATCCATAGTAAATTGTTATGTTGCTGCTGCTGAGTGGTTAATAGTAGTTTTTCCCGTCGCCAAATTGTTATGTACTCCCCGTCGCCAAATTGTTATGTACTAGTTTCCCCGTCGCCAAATTGTTATGTACTCGTCGCTGAATTATTGTTATGGACTGGTCGAGAAACTAATAGTCCTGACGCGAGAAGGCGGAAATCAGAAGACCACTAGGTTTGCGATGATACTTCTATTGTCCAAACACAAGGAGACGAAAATAAATGGTCTCACACCAAAGTGGTAAGTAAGTAAAGTAGTTGTAAAGTATTTTTGTTCACACAAATTGTGAATGCGAATATATATAAATAATTCAGACAAGCGTGGGAAAAATCATTAGACAGTCTTAACATGAATGGCTAATTATAATGGAGTGTCGATCCAATTATACATAGCGAATATAGCAGACATGCCAACAAACATATATGGATATATGTCACCAAGCAACGGACTGTCAACAAACACTCATATTATATATAATATAATATAAGGAGAATACACATTATTAAAGGAGACAAGTCCATACAAGTGAAGTGGTCACAGACTAACCGAGCAAACAGAAAGAGAGACCAACATGCACACACACACATAAATATATATATGTGGATACATATCAGGTAAGCAAAACGGTTACTCGTTTATGACATTGGTTAAGGGTTGCGCTATACAAATATGTCATAAATCGGTAGAATTTGGAACTCGTGGGCTAGCCATTGGATGATCGGGTCCCAGTGGCTGCGTATTGATGAAGACTCCTCAACCAGGACACAACAGCTGTCCAGCACTCCTTGTTGGTTTTCCAGCACTTCTCTAACTAATCTCAACTAATGATCAACTTACATATTTACTTATCGATTTATTCCATTTCTTTTTTGTGTGTGTGGCTTCCTTATTAGCTCGATCGAGATGTCTGTCAATTGTCAGAAAGCCTTGAAGCTCGTGAAAAAGGCATCATCACTGGTGGTGGTGGTAATGGTTCAATGCGTCATTCAACTAGTTTAACATTTCGTAGTCCTTTTAACAGTCCAAAGAAAATTAATCCAAATCTGTCAGAATCAAATTCCAGCCGTAAACAAAAGTTAGCTGGTTCACAACAAATTGAAACAATTGTCTTATTAACTAGTCAAATTTCTGGTTTAATGTCTCAATGTGATGAATTATGCAAGCATTTGATGAGTACAATCAATAATCTTAACGAAACATTATCAAATTATGAATCTAATTTAAAAAATACATAATTTTTAAAATATTTGTAAACAATTTTTTTCATGACTTGATCTATACTACTTATTTTTGTCGATTGTGAATAATTATACTACTCTTATGTAACCAATTATTATTATTATTGTCATTCACTTTTGTGGTGGGAAATGTCTTTTTAAAAAAAACTTATTTCTATACAATTTTCAAACAATTCTATGGCGTTTTTTTAAAAATTCCTTTTTTAGTGTTCCCTTGGGTTTTGAGTGAAACATAGTGTGCTTTAGCACAGCACATCCTCATTTTTTTCTGTTGTTTGTGACCTTCATCAACTGAATACATAGTCTCTCATCTCTTCTTCGCCATACGATCTCCACCATTTCATCCGCGGATCCATATCAAACTTGTCGTTTACCTAATTACTTGGGTGCCGTTTGAGCGATGGCCTGCATTGCGTGCAATGTCATTCGGTGGTCTTCTTAGCATGGAGCCAATCCATGTCTATTTTTTTCCGTAATGGATTCTTGGTTGGTCCGTTGATTGATTGTCAGAGTATCTTGTTGCTAGTTTTTTTCTGGCCAATTGGTCTTGGTGACTTCATTCACTTATCTGGCTAGGGAGCATCGTCTCAACTATAGGCAGTCGGGACGGATGAGGATGTCAAATCGAGCGAGAATCGGGAAGTCAACTACATACGTCAAACTAGTAGATCATGAGTAGTCAGATTGCCTGTCAGAACACAAAAATTTAGCTAAGGTAACAACGGTTGACCCCACGAAAATAAGTAATTTAGAAGAAAGCCCAGCAACTGCACTGCATGCACTAACACACAATCACAAAATAAGGTGGGAGAGGGTTAAAATTCCAAGAAGTAATCTATGGAGGTGGACCGAGAGATTGATTACTGAATCCTTGTTCATCGAGTGAATCTACACCCAACACAGCACATGCAACAGAAATAACTCAATGCAAATACCAGAAATATGGAAGATATTATTACCACCAGTCAGTCAGTCAAATCAGAGGAGGATAATAAATAATCTCAAATTGCATTCTATTTCCATTCACGTACATCATAGCATTCTAACAAGTTACTTATTTATTTTGACTATAAAAACACTCGTCTTATTTCCCATCTGATTGTAATTGATCAATACCACTCATATTATTATTTCTGATTGTGCAATATCCTATATTGATTTTTATTTAAATATCTGATCGATTCCACACATGTCAAATCAAAAATCGGGGAAGGCAGGCGAGAAACACATTCACTCATCAACCTGAAACCAATCTAGAAATCTTCGTCACTCAGCCAGCATCAACAACAAAATTCGATCGGATTTTCAATACAAACAACGTCAAGTCAGTCAGTTCTTCTATACGGATCAGAAACTTGGCGGGCGGGTCATAAAGAATATTTCCACCGATAGCCTGTTGCAGACCTTTATCAACCAAAAACTGCCTTCGCTGGATCTATACTGAAGATGAGATGGCCGGGCCGGAAATAATCACCAGTAACAGGAATCTATGGGAACAAATAAAGAAAACAAGAACCAATCGCCAACCAACAAATATGCAGGAGAAAGTGAAGAGATGTATTGGACACTCACTTGGTGAGGAGGCCACTGGGTGACTTCGCGCGTCAGGCCGTCGAGTGGGACGTGTCGACGGGTGATATGGAAGAGATCATGTGAAGAGGAGTTGAAACATTATGGACTAACATGGATTGATACAGGTGAAAAGTACAGGAGAAGGAAGACAGAAGTGGCACGTTGAGACGTGCAGTTGAAGACCAATGTTCCACTAGGAACCTAAAGGAAAAATAATAAGAATAATTTGGTCTTGAAAACAGAGTGAAGGCAGTTGGTGATGAAAGTCTGCGGTGATGTGCAAAGCTTTGGACTCATATAGCAGAAGTTACTGACTTAACATTAGTGCTGAAAATCCAAATTTTGTTTCTTTATGTGGACTACAGAAGATTTTTACAGTGATTTCAGAATGACAATATCTGTCTCGCCTTTCCTATTCTGCTTTTGACATCGCCACCGTCAGTGGTGCTAACTGCCTGTATTTGGAACGATGCTGCGCGAATAATTGAGTGAAGTCGCCTTTTTGATGTTAATTCCGCTGGTAGTGATTGGTGCTTGTTCATGACAGTTAGCTGGCTCCCCGTTTCCTATCAGTTTGTTAGTTTTATCATGTAGATCTTAGAGCCTATGTAACGTTAGACGTCAGTCATCTACGAAATTCAGATATTCCAGAGTCTTCTTGTTGGTCGAACATGCTCCTGGCTCCCTAAAGTCTTCCCCATAATCCAGTCCATCACAATTAGGAGCATCATCGGTGATAGTAGGCGTCGATTGTTGTCTTACTTCTGTAGCCTCACTTTATTTTCCAATGGTACTTTTTTTCTAAGCAGTGGAAGTGAGCAAATACAGTGCCACCATGCTGACCAGCAACAGTCACACAACTGACAACTAGGCCATCATCATGCTAAACAGAGACTAAATCAAGTGTGTTTTTTATTCCTTTATATTCCCAGCGGAACATAGGGCTTCAAGTTACAGGCTTGAGGTTTCGGTAGCCAGTGGTGTTTTGTTTTTACGGAATAAGGTTGCTGGCCTCATGCACAACCTTTCCTCTTTACCAGCATTATTTCTGACTTAGCGAAGTAAAGGAGTGCGTTGGCCTGGACTCGAACCCCACAACATCTGAATGGCTGGCGAACATTCTACCGCTGTGCCACCAATTCGTTTTTATTAGACAGAAATGGTCGTTCACTGCTGACATATCAATGTTTTTGTGTGGATACTTTAGTATCCAAAGCCAATGGGTTCTTAGTTCGAGTTTCAGTAGGTACACGATCGCTCACTGAGGATAACAATAGTAAAAATATATCCCCATCTGTTTGTACATGTGAGGCGTCAGGTTGCAGGCATCATTAATATGTTCAATCATAAAATAAGAATTAGGCATGTACATAGTAGTTTTCAAAGTTGCAACGAATTATATGAGACAAAATTAATAAAACAATATAGATAAAGTTGCTCAACAGGGGTAGAAGTAGTGGCCACAGTATAATTCAGATTATCAGCGCTAGTTAAAACTTCACTAAAAGCGCGCAATAATTAATGGTTGCGGTACAAATGGTCAATATAGTACGTTATTCGTGAAATAGTGAAAGTGTATGTGTACAAAGTTAGTGTATGGAGAATAACGTCTGCAGGATTTTTTATTGAGAACAAATCACCAAAGAAGTCACTGAGCAGTTAGGCGTGGTAAAGAAGCACAATTAGTGGCACCAGACTCGGATGACCTAGAAGCAACTAATCAGATTCTTCTGGGTGAAAAGTGGCATTTAATTTATAAAATGGTGTAACTATGATGTATATGTAATAAAAATGAATTATTCAGGGTATATATGTCCCTAATATGCTGCCAAAACTAGTCTCAGTTGCTCATAGGAGGAGTTATAGACGTATCGAACTAATGTCTACTCAAAAACTCATCCAATTGGCTATGTACCAAATAATTTCGGGAACCGGTTACCATTCTAATACGTTTTTTAGTCGAGCCCAGAATCCTTCAATAGAACTGTATGGGTTTCATTTATAGGATCTCCTGATTCAGAAGAATGATTGACTTTATGATGAATGTAGCCTAATGATGACAGTTAAGAATAACCTCTGTGTGAATAGTAGTGCATGGGATTAAGACATCGGCAATTATGTTTAGGACACCTTCAACTAACCCTTGTCGAAGATGTGTATGCCAAAGTCCCAGCATCCAAACATGGTCTGCTTCCCTCCTACCATGGTGATTCCTTTTTCGTTCAATAAGTACTGCCTCGTCAATATGAAGGGCGACACCAACTCCTCCAAGTACAGAAGTAATCCCATTGATCTATTGTGGCACAGTATCCCGACAGTGCTGGTATCACTATACTGCTGATGTCATAGTATTGTCTGTTTCTGCAGCTGTATCAGATACTGATCGTTTCAGTAGCCAGTAGTGACATATACACGATATTTTCCCAGAGGAGAATTTCGATTTCGAGAAGAAGGTATCCAAAATATTACCGTAATGTACGACTTACCAACTGTTACAGACTTACGCATATAAAAATGACTGCATTTGAATACCTAACTATCGGCAGTAATTTTGCAGAATCATTATTCCTCAACAAATGCATGTTTTAGTTCTTCCTAACAACCAGTTTTCCACAGAGAAGTCGGAAACCAAATCCGGGGAAAACTTGCAACAACGATAATGGAGAGCGTCCACTTGTAATGCTGAGCGATTTGACTGGTCATTTGAATTTAGTGTCTGTTGTTTTCTCTTGCCCTGTGAGTTCAACTGTGACATATAATTTTCAGTTCATACGCAGTTAAGAATCCAAGTAAGTTCTAACCAATCCATATAAAATGACAAATCAATCACACAGAAGATGAAAATCAATGCCATATTAGTGAATGCTATTAAGATGTGAACTTTCTGCATATTCTCAATATTGGCCACACTTTTAGATATAATGGTGCCTCACAGACGGTGAAAGGCTTTGGATATTGGGATGGAGACAATAACCCAAAATCGCCATGAAAGATGTGTCAAAGGTGAAGGTTTGCAGTTTTTGTAAGGCGTTTCTCGAAATTCTGGCCAGTAAGAGTTTCAGATCTCCTTTGACTGTTATTGTAAGTCGCTAAATTGGTGCCATTTTGCCGTCTCCTAAAATCAAATAGGCGCCATAATGGTAATGAGAGGGGAAAGTGGACAGCTGGGATGCAGGTGCTTCTGATTGATGAGACTTGGATGGGGAGAAGCTGTAGTTATTTCACCTCTGGATAATATCAATGGAATAATAAGTGTTAGACTTGTCATCTGTGCATTTTGCTTTGATCACTTGTGGGAAGCGAATCTCTTAAGTCAATGAAGTTCCGCCATTCACCTTTATTACGGTTAAATAAGGACACCTAATCTCACGGTAAGAGTAACATAGTCATGTGAAGTGTGCTTGGAGTATTTGTAGTAGCATGCC